CGAATGAGGAGGATGCTACAGACGCGGTGGGGACGTACCAGCAGCCCCCTCCGGCAGATGCTTTTGACACCGAGACACAGGGGTACCAAACGCAGAACTACTGAGCCACCGATGCTCCCTTCCCTTCCCCCTTCCCTTCTGCCCCCTTTCCCACTGCCGGCAGAAAGCCGAGGCACAAACCAGACACGTGCGTAGTGGCACAAGAGGTGGCTCTCAGCTATGCTCCAGCCTTCTGGGTCATCTGTTTTTATTTATCGTTTTTAAAAAAGGAAAAAAAAAACCCACAAAACCAAAAAAAGGTTTCCCCATCACCTCTTCCTTCTCTTTTCCCCCAAATGTACCTGCCAGAACAAAATTCTTCCAAAATCTGGCACCGTGTTGCGACAGGACGGTCCCCCCCTTCCCTCCTCTCCCTCCTGCCTTGCTGCGGAGAGCAGAGTCCGGCCGGTGGGCAGGAGAGGGGCCATGGCACCAGCAGGGCAGGGGTGAGGGTGCTGGGGGCGGAAGGAAAGGGGTGAGAGGGACCAGGGACCGTCCTAGAAGAGACGATGTCGCTGAAGGCTGGAGTAGATGTGGGAGCATCTGAATCGGGCAGGAGGGCCTGGTGGCTCAGGGAGGGGGATGGCGTTGGAGTCAGCATGCAAGCGTGCAAGGGTGGAGTGGGGGCTGGAGGGGAGAGGGAATGGCATCCCCTGTGCAAAGATGGGGAGGCTTTTCTCTCCCACCCACTTACTGAGGGAGGGGTGCCTTATTTTTAGAGGGTTTGGGGAGAAGTAGTATTGGGGGGGCACAAAGGGGTAAAATGGGAAGGGAAGAAGGAAGAGTTGTAGGTACAATCAAAAACCACAGGCAGGTCTCTAGGTTACAGCAAGAGATTCGGCAGAGCAGAGAGGCAGTGCCACGAGAGTCACTCCTTCCCCAGCCCCCTTGGATTGAGGTGGAGGTGGTTCCCCTCACCTGTACATCTTCTCAGACCAGTGTTTGGTGAGGCAGGAGGGGAGCCATGCCCAGTCCGTGGCCCCCAGGCGCAGTCCCTGTGGGAGGAAGGATGGAGGAGGTGAGCTTCTACGGGGCTCTGAGAGCCCTCGTCCCCAGCTGAGCTGGTTTGAGGGAGAGAGGAGAGCTTTGCCGTTTCACTCTGGGCATGAGGAGGAGAGAAAG